AAAAAAAAAAAAAAGTACGTCTTACTTTGGGTGAAATTCAATGACAGGTTGAATGCACTTTCCTCCATGTCGTTGTTCGGCTTCTCCTGTCCCTGCCCTTTCTCTGACCTGAGTACGTGCAATTCCCGTGGCTGCGGGAACCCAGTGACCAAGGGCCTGTCCACAAGTCTCATGGATGGGGAAACTGTACTCTTTTGCTCACGGGGCACGAAGTGTGCTACCCAGACCTGAGTCCTGCTGAAAGCCCTCTCCAGCGCTGCCTTGGGAACCATCCTCACCACTAGGGAGCTGTTGTGCAAGCTTCGGCCCTGGTTGCTGCTGCTCTCAGCAGGACAGAGCTCACAGCTCAGGCCAGCTCTTCCCAACACTGTGCTGATGCTAAGGGATTTGTGAGAGGCAAATATGGCCGTGAGCGGGAGGTTTTTCTCTCCCGTGCTCCCTGGAGAATCTTTTGGTGGAAAGTCTCCCCATATATGTCCCTTTAGCTTTGTTCCAGATGAGCCCATCTGCAATCAAACACATTTATTGAGTGCCTGCTATATGCCAAGCACCACACTCAACACTGATGCTGCAAATCGGCTCAGTTCCTCCGTCTATAACATGAATGACTGGGTCCTTCCAGCTCAAATATTCTTAATGGCTTCAAGACTCTACCTGCTTCTCTGATCTTTGCTTCATTTTGATGCCTCCAAATGATCCCAACCAGCTATGGCAAAGCTGTGGCATTATCTGTGTCATGGCATCTTTGTTAGGCAGTGGTTCTCAACTGGGAGTGATTTTACTTCCCTGCAGACATTTGGTAATGTCCAGGAGCTTTTCTGGTTGTCACAACGTGGGGAAAGGATGCCACTGGCAGCTGGTGGGTTGAAGCAAGGTTGCTACTAACATCCTTCAATGCAGAGAGCAGCCCCCACAACAAAGAGTTTTCCTAAGGTGGTAATGGTGCCGAAGCTGGGAACCCTTGATGTGGAGGGCGAGGAATCTCCTTCTGGTAGCCACAAGCACAAGGATCGTCTAATGTGCACTTGGTACAATAATGGAGCACCCTTTGTATTCTCAGCAGTCCCTGCAGCCTTTGTGACGGGTGAGGTGGCAGCTGGGGGATGAGAGCCATAGGATGTCAGTCCTGGGACCCTGTCCAGCAGAGCAGGTACTGACTGAGCCCCTGGCATGGACTGTCTTTATGCTTCCATTTCAGGTTCTGGTTGGCTGTCCAAGATCTCAAGAAACAACCCCTACAGGATGTGGCCAAGAGGGTGGAAGAAATCTGGCAGGAGTTTCTGGCTCCAGGGGCCCCAAGTGCAATCAACCTGGATTCTCACAGCTACGAGATAACCAGTCAGAACGTCAAGGATGGTGGGAGATACACATTCGAAGATGCCCAGGTTTGCTTATCTAGTCGAATAGCTCTGCCCAGACATGCTTACGTGTCCCCTCCACCACCCCACCCTTTAACACGCGTCCAAGGCATTGTGTCGTTACAATGTCAGGTTTCATTATTCATAAGGTCTCAGTGGATACAATTCCAGGTAGGTGCACAATGAAATTCCAGGAGGATTATGTTCCTAGATGAGTTACCTTATTACACAGAAATGGAAGCTTATGTGTGTTATCTTTTCTAGGAAAATCTCAAAGGGTTTTACAAAACCTGAAGTCGTGTGCAATAAGTCATAGTAGAATCTGGAAACCAGAGCACATCAGCCAAGTGGGGACAGTGAGCTGGCAGGGCAGGGGTCAAGCCCACCCGCATAAGGACCACCCTGCGCTGCTTGCACGGTGACCTCCAACTCTCCGCATCTATATTCCCCGCCTTGTGCCTTGCAATGAGATCCCGCAGGGAACAGACCAAAGCCCCTGCCCTCCAGGAATTTAAGGCCTAGTGGGGGAGAAAGACAAGGAAATGGGCAATTTCACCAATAAATGAAATGCCTCAAAAGGATGAGCTCTGGGTTTAAGGAACCCAGGGCGGGGACTCCCAGTTATGCTAATAGCATGATTAGCAAACGGATGCTGGTGAGGCTGGGGAACGAAACAGAAGCCACCCTAAACAGCAAGCCTGACTTAAGGGCTGGGAGGTGCCATTTCTAAAGATAAACATCAGATCCGTTTCTCACTTCCTGGCCCCTCACTTTTATTTCCTCCCGTCATCCTACACCCGGTGACAGGGCTTAAGGTTTTGCTCTTGTCTCCTCAGCCCTCTTCATTTCTCGCACCCGTGGGGTCCCCGGATGAGAATTTGGCCAGATCACCCTCCTACAGATGTTACGATCTAATTTAGGAGATTCAGAGTGACCGTTGCAAATAGTGGCATGAGACCAAAACCAGTGTCCCTCGTCATCCAGATTTGCCTTGTCATTGGCTCAGGACTTCAGAATGGAGACATCCACCAACCTCAGCCCCGTAACTGTCTTTTCTCTCCCCCTGGTCGTGAACTCCACTGAAACCTGTGCCAGGTAGATTTGGTTCTATAGAGTTTAGTGACTTTGTTTTATGGAATCATGAGTCTCTCACATTCTTTGCAGCTTTAAAGCAGAATGTTTTAGTTGAGACATCTTTTTTTTCTGGTAGACTTCTGTATGTGTGTGTATACATGCTCCCAAGCACACAGTGACGTATCCTGGCGAGGAGAGTGATGGAGGCTCCCAGATGAACGATCTGCAGCACAAAACTCAACTCACCATTATTCATGAAACACAAGAAAAGAGATATTGGTCAGAACCATGATGCTCCTTACCCAGTATTATCGCCCTGAGCCTGACATTAGGAAAATTTTATTTTAATCTTTTATTATGGAAGCATGTAAATATGTGGAAAAGTAGAAAAAACAGAACCTCAAACCTTTGTGCACCTTCATCCAACCTCAGCAATCATCAATACAAGACTGATCTCATTCTGTCTGTGTCTCCACCTACATTTCACCTACCACTGGTTTGTTTTAAAGCAAATCCAAGTCTATATCACTTCATCTATAAATACTTAAGTATTAGTTTTAACATTACCACGCTACCCTAACAGATTAGTAATTATCTCTTAATATCATCAAATGTCATGCAAGTGTTCACATTTATAGTAGTTCCATAAACACCTTTTTCAATCATTATTTCAAATTCCAAAATCCAAATAAGGCCCACACTTCGCAGTAGATCAACATGTCTCTTAAGTGCCTTGTAATCTACAGGTTTCTTTTACATCTTCCCCAGTCTCCCACCCCCTTGCAATTAATTTGATGAAGAAATTGGATACTTTGTGCTGTAGAGATTCCACAGTCTGGATTTTCCTGATTGCAACCCTGTGATGCTATTTAATGTGTCCTTCTGCTATCTGCACTTCCTATAAATTGGTAGTTTGAATTAGATATTTAATCGGATTTAAGTTTGATTTTTGTGAGCAAAACTACTTCGTAGGCTTTGTTGTGCTCTCCTGTCTGAAGGCACATGGTGTCTAGTTGTCTGTCTGTGGTTTTTAGCAGCCACTGGTGTTTATTGTTTAGGTCCGTTAGTTAATTAGGAGTTACAAATCCTGTCTTTCTTTCTCCATGCGTTAACTGAAATACAAATACTCAAACGCATCTACCATTTGATTAATCTAGAATACAATTCACATAGGGCAGATGGGATGCATGTTTGATTCATTCCCTTTATTTGCCAATTTAAAAAATATTGAGTGTTTTACTGTCATTTTCCAGTGGTGACCAATTAGGGCTTTTTGGTGTTTTTCAGTATCCTTGTAAATCCACAGGTTTAAACATATTTGATATGTCTTGATCCACTTTGTATATTCTTTTTATTGATGCTTGGATTGTACCATCTCTGGCTAGTTGGCTCCTTCTGACATAACCCTAGTAGTCTTTGATGTCATCCAAATATCAGAGAAGCTAAGATCATCCAGATCCTTTTCCAGACCTGGAATCAGCTAGTTCTCCAGGGATCCCTGGCTCCTCTTAGTGGAAAATGGTTTTTAGAGACCATAATCTGGGCACTTATAGGCACTCATTGTTCCTGGGTTGGTCATCATTTCTAGGCCTTTTCAGTGGCCAGAGCTAAGAAATAGGTGGTTGTTGCTTGTGATAAAAATACATCATGAGTTCATACTGACACTTCCCATTCAAATTCAAAACCATAGGGTATTTTATTTAACGTCTTCTTGCTTATTTCTGTGTCTCTGTTCTCTATGCTGAGAATCCGAGTTCCCAAGGACACCATAAATGATCGCATTAGTACTCCACATCATTTGCTCTGTCCTGCATTACCACAGAGTGGTCTCAAAATGACAGTGCCAGCACCAGCAACAATGGTATGATTGCCTGGTTCTTTAATACCTGCATAGTATTCCATTGTTTGGAAACACCATAGTTCAGTCAACCAGTCCTCTTCTTGACATATGTCATTACTAATTCAAGAAATACTTGGTGGGAAAACTTGGAAAGTCAGCGTGTTGTGTCTTGACATGTTTCTGAATACACAGCCTCCATTTCATTAGCACAGTGCTCTGCCGTTTTTCAGGAGGCTACTTCCAAATATATTATATCTCCTTATTGAGGAAGGGTACCCAAAGCATCTCTAACTTCCTCCTTGTCTGCTGGGACTGGGCTTCTATGAATTTCTAATAAAGCACTCTTCCTAAACCAGTTTCTGTTTTCAGCCTGTTCCCTTTTGTTTCTTAATATGTGTCCATCATAAACACACAAAGTGCTTCTCACTAGCAGTATGACCTTGAGCAAGTTACTGAAACGCCCTGAATTTTCTTTTCCTCATCTGTGGAACAGAGGTACAACAGTACCTATACTGTGAAGAGGGAATTAGATGAAACGAAGCACGTCAACCACTAACAGCATCTGGTCAAATAAGTAAAATAAGATATTTACAATTGTATTTTCCTGATGTCATTAGTGTTCTTATCTTATACTTTTATGTTCAACAAGTTTAGTGAAAAAAATTCAAATAATTGCATATAGCCTTACTACCCAGAGCTAACCCCTATTCTGTTTTTTTCTCTTTCAATGTATATGTATAGGGTGAGTATGCAATTTGGATGATTCTGTAGCCTGCCTCTTACGCTAAACTAAGAGTTGATGTAAAAGGCTAACTTTATTTTGTTAAAGGCCAGGTAGTTTAAATTTTGAGCTTTGTGGGTCACGTGCTCTATGTCACTGCTTCTCAATTCTGTCATACAAAAACAACTATTCTGTTACAGAGTAACAGAGTAAAATTTAAGAGTAAACAATAAGTGGGCTGTGTTGAAAATTTTTATTTTTGGACCTTGAAAGTTCAATTTCATATAGTTGTTCATGAACTATTCTTCTTTTAATTTTTTTTCAGCCACTTAAAAATGTAAAAACCATTCTTAGTTTGCGGGACGTACAGAAATAAGACAGTGAGCTAAAGTTTGAGATCCCCGGGTTGAACAATGTGTCAGGAAAATCATTGACATGCCTAGGAAATTCAGAAAGATACGAGACAGAGGGTTGAGCGTGGTTGATCTTCCGTTCATATGGGAGAGTAGGTTAGAGGAGACAGTCTTGGTGCAGTAATAGCCACACACCAGTCTCTGCAAATATTTCTACATCAGTGTCGAGGGTTACAGAGCAGACCAAGGAGAAGTCAGCCAGTCCCACGATCCTCACAGTGCCTCACCCCTCCTGGCCAGCACTGCTGCCTGCACCAGTTACACAGGTGTGCCTCAAAAGTTTCCAGGTAAGGAGGGGAGACTAAGATCCAGCCAAGACTTGCTCTCAGATCTCCCAGCTTGCTGGCTAAGAGTCTGCTGCCTAGACCACACTGCCCTGTATTGTTAGAGCTGAGAGCTTGGTTGTCATGTAGAGACCTGGAGAAACTCTGGTCCCTGGAGAAGGGCACCAAGCTGGGGAGCAGGCTCTGATCCTGTTTTGGCCGTATGCTTTGCCTAGGATTGTACCTGTAAATCCTTTAAGCTTGCTCTCCTCAGTTTGCCCTTCTGAGAAGTGGGAATGGTGACACCTAAGGCCTTTGGAACAGTCCCCTCCATCCCCCTGTTGGGATCAGGAGCTTGGGGTGGATTCCTCAGCTGGTCACGATGGTTCTCAGATGCTCCCCCCACCAACAGTGGTCAAAATGCCGACAGACGTGTGAGCATGTGTCCTGCTATTAGGGGTCAGTCTCCAGAGTGAAGGCTCAGATTTATGGAATCGTTTGAAATTGGGGGCTGGGGGTGGGGTGCAGGCTCCCTCTGAGTGTTTTGTTTTTCCTTTAACCACATGCATTGTTACGGCAAAGTTAATTGCGTGTGTTTGCTTCCTGTGGAAACAGCTCACAAGACGCTGTCAGCACAGGCCCAGGATTTGCGCTTGTGTTTGGCTGATCCATTGGCTTTTTTTTTTTTTTTGAAAATTTGGGCCAAGACCAAATCT